TTAGAGACTGAAGGAATGGCAGCATGGCTGGATCAGAGTCGCGCCCGCAGCTGATCAGCATCCGGATCTTCACCTTCCTCTCAAATGCGGCCATCCTGATGGCATCATCAATGAAGGGCCAGTATCTGTTCAATTAAAGAGTTCAAAGTGAGGAAATCAAGCCCACACTACTACTGTGCACTATTTTCTATTACTTACTGAAGACTGAGGTAGCCTGACAAATCAGTTACACTATAATATAGTATCTTTCTCTTTCTTTTTTGTTAACTTGCATAGCCTGAGATTCCTCTGTGCTGCAAAACCTTTTTGGATTGTCACCTCAATATTTATACTGGCCCAGCTACTAAATATTTCCTGCAGGTGCCACCGGTACTGACGCAAACAACTTTTTTGTTAGTGGGTCAGGATTACCTGCGAGGTTTTTCAAAGCGTGTGGTGGGAAAGTACTCCATGACAGCTACATCAACGTAGCGTTGAGCCTCAGAGATGGCAGAGAGAATAGCCTCCAGATCCTGTGTTCTTGATAGAGGGAAGAATGACGGTGGTGAGCCCTGGGTAAAACACACATTTGGATTATTTCTACCAAAATCAAAAACAATTCTCTCATTAAAATGTGATTTCCATGAGGTCTGGCACTTGTCCTAAGTGAAGATGTAATACACACTCTGTACAGTCACTTCTCTGTAACTGCTCCTGTACTGATGAGATTAACAGTGAGAACTAGAGTTGTTTTTGATGACCTGTTTTAATTTTAGTCTAGTCTTTGGGTGAAGCTGTCATTTTAGTTTTAGTCACATTCATACTCTTTTTAGTCTAGTATAGTTTTAGTCGACGAAAACTGATGACATTTAGTCTAGTTTTAGTCAGTGAAAATTGTATTTTAGTCTCTTTAGCAATGCAATTCTATTTAACCTAGTCAATATAGTATAAGTACCTAGTAGTATAGATGAAACCAAAAGTTTCTTTGAGCCAAACCCATTTCAAACAAGGTTATCTTATTATATTATTGTTACCTTATAGACTCAAGAATACATCCAATACACATGTTGTGTGATTTTGTGGCCACATTTCTCCCCATCTTTTTCCACTCCATTTTCTTTTCCACTTCTATGTAATGAAAGTTTTTCCAAATGTCATTTCTTCTTTTTCTCTAAAAGACAAACTCCGGCCAGCCGGCCATTGGTCCCTTTCTCTGTGTCAGACTTAACTTTGTTTGTTGTCGTCTTCTAAATAATGCTGCAAATGGAGCTTAAGGAAGTGACATCGCCTGTGTCTGCGTAGTGCGACCTGATACGGCCCCTGAAGCGAGACACAGGAAACAGAAATACTGCAAAATAATAATAATAACGCGACTGAACGAGACGAAATAACATAACATTTCACTTCGTTTTGGTCAACGAAAATAGAGACATTTTGACATAGTTTTTATTTTGTGAACTACATTTAGTCTCGTTTTTTTCCCGTCAACAATATTGCATTATACATTTAATTATAGTCATCGTCAGACGACCAGCATTTTCGTTGCGTCTCGTCTCGTTTTCGTCGGGCGATAAAGGTTTGTTGATGACGATATTTAGTCATAATTTTCGTTGACGAAAGCAACTATAGTGAGAACTGAGTAACAGAGAACTGAAAGCCAAGAGGCTCACCGCTAAGTAAATCCTGCTGGAGACATTATCAGCTTCCACCAGCAGGGGGTGGTGTTTGTTGATGTCAGTGTCATACTCTGAAGGCCAGGGCTGTGGCAGGGAGCTGTTGGGTTTTCCCATCACCCAGTAGGACTGGAAGATCTTCTGGAGGTCCTTTGCTAGACTGGAGCAGTTGTAGATGACTACTCCCAGCTCCTTCACCTATAGAAAGAGTTAAATGTTAGGCCAATGTTTTAAGGACAAAAATAAGCACATATAATTGTAAATTCTTTTTGGTTTTACCTGTGTGAGAGCCCTCCAGTCCATGTTTGCACTTCCAATAAACACATGCTTTCTATCAACAATCCAGAACTTGCTGTGTAGGACGCCCTTTGTGAGGCGCCCAAAATTAACCTTCCTCACATGAACACCTACAAACAACAACAACAACAAAAAAGACGACTGCAGTTAATGGGAGACGGTGCAAACTACACATCACACAAACATCCATGGAAATGTAGAGAACAAGAGGGTCCAGACCTTTCTGTTTCAAACCGTTTAAATCTGTGGAGTTAGTTTTAATGGTGGGGATGCTGGTTACCACTCGGACAGATACGTTCCTCGAGGGCAACGCTTGCAGTTCTTTTAGGATACCCCTTCCCTGCCGAGGACAGACAGTTTTAAAGCACTTTTTCACAAATGCACATTCAACAAAGATCGAGGAGGGCATTTTAATTTAACTTTGTGTTTCAGCTGATAACTCACAGGTATGTCAGAGGAAGAGTTAACGTTGATGTCCTCCCCAGTTAAAGTCCAGTAAAAAGACGCTACATCCATTTGGTCCGTTGCCATGGAGATAAGATCTTTCCAGACTTCTTCCAGAGGGATTCCAAGTGTCACATTAGGTTTATACTTCACATGCTCAGGAATGCTTTCTACAAGGGCCATGCTGAGGGATAAAACAAAGACAGAGTGAATTCTTTGGAAACTGAAATTGAGAAAAATCATATTGCAATTTAGAGAAATTAATTTTTAAGTTAGTAGATGTGGCAGCAGTGTGTTCAATGGATTTACTTCTAAATTCTTTGCTATAAACTAATGCTCACAAAGTCTTGACCACAGTGCACTCACTTAACTGATTTTGAAGAACTGAGGAAAACAACTTGTGGCTTATTATAATAATACACAATATACACAGAGCCCTGACTGGCAACCTGTCCAGGGTGTACCCTGCCTCTCACCCAGTGTCAGCTGGGATTGGCTCCAGCCCCCTGCAAACCTCTCAGGATAAGCAGTATAGATAATGGATGGATGGACAGACAATATACAGTTTGACATAAAATATCAGGTGTATAATAGAGCCCACGTTTCATATCATCTATACTTAAATTGAAATAGTCAGTGCCATGGATTGTTATGTCTCAGTTTCATGCAATAGACAGTGCCTGTTTAGCATATTGCTAAACTGTAACTCTTAACACATCCGATTCCCTTTGGTCCACAGCTAATTTGAGCACAATAATGAATTTTGGTCATTATCTGCTGATGAGGTAATGGGTACCCAATAGTAAAGCAGCAAATTAAGGCCGACATGAACATGTAATATTGTAATACACACACGTGTACACACACACACACTTTTTTTTTTTTTTTTTACTTGCGTATATATGACATCTTGTTTCAGGAGTGTTCATTTTGTTTTCTTTTTATGGCTCCAATTAACATCTTATAATTTATTTTATAATACAGTAATAGTCACAGGTTTGGAACACTTTCTCTTTCAATTCAATGGGAAAGTGCCACTTCCTGGGATTAAAAATATAACCAAGATAAGTAGACAAATCGTAATACACACATCAGAGCTTAACTGAACTGATTCCATTTTTTATAAAAAGACAGATTAGTCAAAAAATACTCGATCCTATAGACAACTTAAATGGCACTTTAAAGTAAACCAAGACCTACAGTACAATCTGAAAAATCCCTATAATACATATATATAAAAAATAATTTGAGATTACCACATTAAAATTTAAAGTAACCCCAAACACTGGAAGCTGTATATAAGAGCAAAGGTTTCTATATGTTAAATATGCATTTTTGTATTGTTAATCTTCATTATAAGTGGTCAACCTCAGTGAGCTCATGTTTGAACCTCTGTCTGCGACTTCTGCTATACTGTATGATATTTATTAGCCTGCATCGGTTCCTACTGGCTGTTTTGGTAACAGACACTGAACCATCGATTACCTGCACTGGTCCGTAGAGAAATTGCCCCCACCAGAGTCCTTAGGGAGTGTCTCGTGGCCTTTTGGCAGTGGGGGTCTCTCCAGTACAGCGATGGCAAGCAAAATCCCCAGAACAGTCAGGCAGCCCACAACTATGGCTAATGTCAAACAGCTGGTTGACCTCTGACAACATTTAGTTTGATAGAAAAGACATTCCAAGATAAAGTATCTGACAGAACAGAGTGAATAACTTGGTGGATGTGCATTGTAGTCTTACCCCTTTGTTTGACACATAACTGTCATGAAGGCTTTTATACACTGAGGACATTCTTCCTTCCAAAAACTGTTTCCTATTAAACATCAAAAGCAGCTAATTATTGTCCCTAACAGACTATATCTAAACCGTTTGTCTGGCTGTTCAAATCTCATTAAGTTTGATTTTCAAAGTACTGAAAGCAAAAGCTACTTACCCAAAGCAGACCCAGATCAAAACAAATGTTGCTTCTCCTTCCTACACCTTCCACTCAAAACTGAGCTGAAGCGCTATCTCTGTCAAAGACCAGTTCCTGTTTTTCGTTTCATTTCTGGTTTAGAGACATTTGTTCAGGGATCTTTAAAAAAAGGGTAGTGAGTAAACACAGTGGATGACAAATGTTCAAATACAACTAATTTTCAAAATTTATTTGAAACAAAAAATAGAATCACCACCTAACAAATTACACAAACAGCAGCTAACAAGACATCAGATTACAACCAAATCACTCTGGGAGAAAGGAAGGGAAACAAACTGAATATTAAAAAAAACAAACAAACAAAAAAAACATGCGACAAGATTTAACCCTCAGCTCTCTGACTTACTGTAGCTTTGACGTAAATGGAATAAAGCAAAGGAGATAAATACTATTCCATAGAAGGGTGAATAGCAGCAACAGACCGAGCAAGAAAAGGAAAAACATTCAATTCTTGCTTGATTTGTAAACAACCACTGTTACTTGGCTGCAAGAAATCCCACATAGTTTTGTGGCACTTAGAAGTACTTCCCAAATACAATCACATGTACAATCCTGGCTGGAAAGAGGGAAACTAAAACTTGCTGGTGTACTGGGTTGCCTTTTTCCCCCAGCGTGAATCTCAACAGCATCAGATGTTTACTGTACAACCCGTCACAGGGAAGCAAAAGCTTTCATTTTGCAGCATATCAAGTGGAGGAGATAATATTGTACTACAATTAGTGCAAAAGACAAGATTGAGAGGTAATTTGTAAAACAAATGTTTAGATGTTTATGTACTGAACAGAATGTCACAAACTAATAATCAGATTGACAGTTTCACACAATTTACTCTGTCAGCTTAAAACTACATTATTTTTCCTGTCATGTGACAACTCATCAATAGTGACCTTGTGGTTCAGGAAATAAACACATTATCACAATGCTCTGATAGTTCTTAGTGTACAGCAACACACATGGAGGATCAGTTGGTGTACAGATACAGGAGTCCTGTCACTTGTTTAATAAATGTTTTTGGATGAACCCTCACAGGAATGCTTGGGAAAAACTAGCCGGTTGAGTTTGTGGTTGCCAGGTGACTAATCTATGGACTCAATTTTTATTGGGACACACACTGCTGAGGGATTTGTAGACAAAACAGAAAACGCCAATGTACTAAAAAGGGTCTGGATACAGTTGCCTCACCGGAAAAGAACAAAATATACACAAGTAATTGTCCAGCAGCAACTGTGTAATATAATATGGATTGGTCTGGCCATGTGATCTCTCCCAAAGTTCTGTCTCTCTCAGTGACAAAACAGTGTCCCCCAAAAGAGTCCTAATAAATATGTTTTACATTCTTCTGTAAATCTGGTCCACAAAGAGAGAAGTGGCAGAGGCAAAAACATGGGAAAATATATAAGGAAACGCAGAGGGTGTTCTAAGAAAACATATGTACAGTAGACTTAGACCTGGTGCTACTGCAGCTCCATCAATGGACTAATATTTCCTTAAATGTTATAGATCATTAAAAGCAATAATCCAATTATTAATACATTTCCCTAAGTGGAATAAGCTCAGGCTGCTTTACAATTAAACAAAGTAATTAAGTGAGCTTTTCCATCAGCAATGTTGGCCATATTGTTCACAAATAAAGAGGACAAGAGTCAAGTATCAATCGGAGGCCTTACAGAGGTGAAAGGGAGGTTCACTCAAGTATTATGGTACTTCCTTAAGTCATCACCTCATTCGTAGGCCTCCTACCAAGTGCACTGTGAGGCCGTTTACTGCAGACTTCACTGCATAGGTGTGTAGTGCTCACTGTTCAGGTTTGGATATATACGACAGGGTTCAGTTCTGTGTAACCAGTCTCACTTCCCCTACTCTAGAGTTATGTTTTGTGCAAAATGGTGCAGCACCTGTGGTTGTGGGATCAGCAGAAGTTCAGCACTGTGTATGTGTGTCAGATCTCAGACTAAATATCCCTCTCTGAGATCGCCTGGTGTCACAGCTGCTCGCCTGACACCCTCACCAGGCCTTGGGCCACCGCCACGTTTAGAGACAGAGTGGACTGTCCTCCTGTCCTGCGAGGAAAGCGGTTTGGAGGATCGAACTCCATACAAGGAGGAGATAGCAGATGCGTTGGATGCTTCAGGCTGCCCACTGGGCTCCATGACTGTGTTAATGACTAAATAAAGCAAAGAATATTCAAGAAATTGCACCTCTTAGCAGGTAATTCAGGTCTACTTTACACAAGTATTATAACGATGATTTACATTTATATGACTCACCCTCAAGTTGGTGTTGAACTCTCCTCAGTTCTTTTAAGATTGACATGATTTCCTGAAACCCAGATGCTGACTTAACTTAAACACACAACATTCATTAGCATGAATTAAGTGTGAAAATTAACAAAAAAGTCACTAACCTTGTTGGAAGTTTTGATAACAGGGACTTCACTGTCAGAATTAACCTTTGCCTCAATTTTCTCCCAGATATCCATTCTGTCTTGGAACAGCACCCTGTGTGCATATAGCCAAGTGCAGCTCTTTAGAAAGTTGGATTCTTGGTTTATTCTCTAAAGCAAATTAACATTTTTTGTGTGTCAAAAATATTGCTGCTTAGTCTGGAAAACTGAAAAAATAAGCTCCTTTTTATTGTGGTAACACAACTGAACCATGGTATAATAAAACTTTAGTTGGAAACAAACTGAAGCTTTATTCTGCATCTAATCTACTGAGATGGTTATACAGTATCTGTATTGTCTCAGCCCCAGTCAGCCTATAAGCTTGTGTACCGAGTCACTCAGTTAAACTAATTTAATACGATTATTGGCTCACTGCAGTCTGGCTGACAGACACAATCAATAAGACAGACACAATCAATAAAGTGATTCATCAAGCATGGGATTGAGAGAAGTTTATGAGTTTTCTTAAAATCTTACTTAATCTTGTCAGCAAGTTGCTCAGTGTTTTCTCTGATGGCCACGATGACCTGAGACAATGGATCCAGCATCATATTGTCCACAATGACCTGGAGGCCAAACACAACACTCAGTGACGATGATCTCTCAGTACTAGTATCAGAGGTTTTAAAAATGAGACGAAGTCGCCCATTGTGCCAGACCTCGTCTCTGCTCCGAGCTTGCTGCCTGGACTTCTGTTCATGGTCACCCGAGCTCTGGTTAAGTTCCTTTGTAGATGCAGAACTTGGTGGGACTCTCTGGTAATTTAATCCAGCCTCAGAAATACGCTGAACCAGCTGTGACGCAAATCAGAATTTAATGTTATGATAATGAGAGAGTCCCTATAGCTGATGTGTAAATAAGATAACAAAACTAAGAGATATAACCACAATTCCATCCATCCATCCATTTTCCTCCGCTTATCCGGAACCGGGTCGCGGGGGCAGCAGTCTAAGCAAAGATGCCCAGACTTCCCTCTCTCCAGACACTTCCTCCAGCTCCTCCGGGGGAATGCTGAGGCGTTCCCAGGCCAGCTGAGAGACATAGTCCCTCCAGCGTGTCCTGGGTCTTCCCCGGGGCCTCCTCCCGGTGGGACATGCCCAGAACACCTCCCTAGGAAGGCGCCCAGGAGGCATCCAAAACAGATGCCT